ACGGTTTTGTAACTCGAGCTGAAAGGTTTCGGGACTTTGGAACAGAGCACGAGGGGGACGGAGCGTTGACTTCATTAGACGAGACCTCTCCAACTTAACGTTTAGGTTCAGTGTGCCTCTAACCATTCGGTGATCGCTACCAGTTTTCACCCTCGCGATCACGGAGACATCACTGAACAGTTGTCGTCTGGTCGTCATAATGAAGTCAATCTCATTTTTTGTCGAACCGTCGGGGCTCGACCAGGTCCACTTCCTGTGGGGCCGCTTCTGGAAGAAAGAGTTCATCATAAAGAGTCCCTCTTTCTCCATGAAGTCGGCCAGCTGCTGGCCCCTTGGGTTCCGTTGCCCTATTCCAAATTTCCCTACTTTCAGCTCACCGTTCTCTCTTGTGCCTAGTTTTGCATTGAAGTCTCCCATTAACACCGTATATTGAGTTTTGGAGGAATGCATGGCTCTAGAGATATCCTCATACATTTCCTCCACCTCCCCATCGGGGTGTGCCGAGGTTGGTGCGTAAACCTGTATGACCTTCAGCGAATACCGTTTGGTGATTCTGAGTATAAGGTACGCAACCCTCGTCGACACACTCCCGATCTTTACAACGTTGTTAACGAGAGACTTGTGGACGATAAATCCGACACCTCCTTGGGACAGATGGTCGCCCTCCCGGTGATAGAGCAAGTTGCCGGATTCGAGGATTACCGTGTCCTCCCCCTCTCTTCGGACTTCGGATAATCCTATAATATGCCAGCGCAACTTGTCTATCTCTTCTTCCAGCTCCACGATCTTCTCGTCAGTCCTCAGGGTGCGTGCGTTGTACGTTGCCAGGTCGAGTCGTCTAAGGTGGCAACCGAACCTCCACCGGAGATTCTTAGCACCCCCTGCCCCGCCGTTACCATGGTCGCCACCGTAGCCAGGAATAGCGGGGCCGCCGGGGACTGGGGGCCGTCTCTTTGTTACATTCATAGGGGGGTATTTGCCATAGTTGCCACGCTTGGCAACCGCAGTTTTTTTATTGTAATATTGGCTATTATCAGGAAGATGCTGCTGCCCATCTCCTGCCTGTTTCCCTTTGTCGCCTTTTACGACACCCACGGGAGGAAATGGGGTAGTGGTATTCTTGACCGCCACTACACGGCAAAAGTTAGCAGAAACGTTAAAATTGTACCCGCAAACTTATAGCTAATTAGTTGCCAAAATCGCGATTTTCTAAGCTGTGTATAGAAGAGCTAAAGCACCGACTTTGGAAGCTAATATGTGGAAATTATTTTATTCTTTCAGAAAATTGGAATCGGCTACACATTTACCCTTTTGAGTAGATTAAGAAATATCACAAGATTAAGGTAACAACTAGAAAGGGCTAAGTAATATATGTTCGCATTGCAAAATATCTACGTGTATGTATAAAACGGCCCTTTGCTCACGGGTCTTGCGCTCCTGATCAGGGATCAACCAATTATTGACTTTCTATTCACAGACGAATACCACCACGCTGGGTTCGGGATGACGAGGTGGGCGTGACCCTAGATATTTTTTTAATAAGATAAGGGTGACAAACGAGCACACAGTCCACCTGATGGTAAGTGGTTGCTGCGGCCCATAGACATCTACATCTATCCTCTATTACAATTCAAAATGCAAATGCGTTGTCACACATGAGGACTAAGATGGAATGCCTCATTTCCAGTAAAAAGGGTCTCCGGTTCCCTACACTCGTCATACGAAACACAGCAGCGTTAAGCTGCTATTTTACGCTGGTATTCTGTGAGAGCGTGGTCCTTCCTCGCTCGAGCCGACCCATTTGTGCTGCAACTACACTACTAATATAGCTGCAGCATGGCTCTACCACGTAATAATATAGACGTTCAATTCCGTTTACAAACCCATTTCTTAAAAGAGAGGGTTGAAGAGTAAAATGACGGGCCCCTATTTGAATGGTCCTGGTCTTGACGCCTATCGTATGTGCCTATGTGGATTAATTTCTTTCTTTTCTTTTCTTTCTTTTTCTTTTTTTCTTTTTCACGATCCTGACACACATCTCTCGCTTCCTTTATATTCATATATCTACGCATACACATCCTTGTCTAATTATTTTATAAAACCAATCTGCATTGTTTGTTACATAAATTTACATACTTTGAATGAAATAATTCTTACTTTAAACAATTACATATAACCTATTTTAAGACTAGATTTAAAAAGGGATAGTCACCTATGTGAGTTGAAAAACTCATTTCTATACGACCCTAAAAACCAAATAGGAGGCTGTAGCTATCCCCTTCTAATATTTATAGCTATATTTATCCAGTATATAATACATTTAGCTATCTCTTTTGACGTGAAAACGTCTTTTAATTCGATGAAGCTAGCTGCACGCACGAAAAAACATGACTCATGCGGCGTTACCTCTCACATGCTTCTAAATTATAACAAGCAATCAATACATTTTATTCTTTTACTCGTATTACGTTGTCCATTACTACGTAACGCATGACTAAGTTAATTCAAAGCTTATCTTTCAGAAAAAATTGAATATGAAATAAAACGTTCTATTGCATAGAAAAAAACTGATCGCATGAAAACACAATGTATCTCACAAGTAATATATGTTATATTAAATTAGATTGTTTAGTGCGATTGCCAAGTCAATCTATGTATTTAAAACATAAAAGATTTTTAATATTGATATGGTCACTATAAGATGATGTTAGGTTACCTATTTACGTATTAACTTGAGATTGAGACAGAAGGACCCTTAAGTAGGGACTGAATAAATTAACCGACTTGGTATTACATGGATCTCACAATTTTTTACGGTAGAATAACTGAGTTGCGAGACTTGGTTTTTTTACAAGTTATGTTTTTAATGGTATCTCATTTCTTTTTGTAGATAGTCCTATTTATTTTCCTTTCCGGTACCTTCTACTTCTTGAATACCAACTACGGATTTTCGGGCAATTTATTCTACTTAATACTTTGCGGGATTTTGGTACCACTTCATAAGACATGTCCCATTCTTGTTTTTTCATTCTGTTAACCATTTTACAAGTTACCTTTGAACATAATTATATCTAGGTACCTATCTACCATATATTATTCCATTATAATTATACATATACAAGTACACTGATTCATCCACCGCAAATGTAACTTTGTAATCCTATATATTTATATAGGATTACAAAGTTATTTATGCAGTTGGTGTATCTATAAAACTGGACCGAAATTACAAAATGTTTTAGATTTTCCTTGATTTATACACTAAACACTAATGTAATTCTAAATTTGAAGCTTCTACGTCTGCTAGAAGTGCCTTAGAGTTTTGATGATCGGTCAGTGAGTGACAAAATTAAGAAACTTTGACTAGTTATAATTCTTAAACTACTTACTCAAATAGAATGAAATTTGAAATATACCGTGTTTATATAATGCATGCTTGGTTGTTGAAAATTCAGGTTTCTAGTTTTATCCACAACGAAGTTATAGGCACTCCCGTACCCCCAAATAAAGTGCAAATAAAGGGAGAGCTTACAGCATTTTTAATTTAGCGCCATCTATTAGGCAAACAGCGCAATAACGAAAATTTAATTTTATTCGCGCATCTATCTCTAGTATATATAGTACAGTAATCAGTAATAAATTTAAAGTCTGAGTACCAGTGTGTTTTTAAATGGGGAAGAACTGAGGCCTGTTGAATTCACTGTTTTTCTCGGCATCACTCGCGACGCAAAGCTTCAGTGGGGCCCCCATATATCCAAACTAGCAAGCAGACTATGTTCTGCAGCCTATATAGCATAATGTCTTATGGGATTTTGCTATGGGGAAATTCGGCTGATTCAGAAACTATTTTTGTTTTACAGAAGAGGACTATTAGAGCTATTTACAACCTAAAAACGAGAGAGTATCTTAGAGATAAATTTAAATAAATAAATATATTAACTTTGGCCTCTCAGTATATTTACGAAAATTTAATGTATGTTCACAAAAACAAAGGTAGTTTTAGTAAAAAAAGTGATATGCATTCTGTAAACACTAGGAGCAAACACAAGCTAGTGATACCAGTTTCTCGACTCCACAGGGTCAGTAATTCATTCTTGGGGCAATGTATACGCTGTTACAACAAGGTCCCGGAAAATGTACACGCTCTCTCTATTAGCAAGTTTAAATGTTTTGTTAAGATGAAACTGTATAAAAAGGGTTATTATAGTATAAATGAATACATGGTTGATAATAATCCCTGGGAATGAGGTGATCGCTTCCAAGCTGTTTCTAAAATAAATTTTGTACTTATATAGTTATTACAACCATTAATGTAAAATTTGCTTTTAAAAAAAAGTCCCGCTGGGTTTCTTGCTGGTTCTTCCCAGGACAGTGTGGCATACCACCTTTAAATAAATTTGAATGTCATTATTGTATAATAAAAATAAATAAATTTTATCTATAAAATCACATTTTCAAAATTCTATATTAACTAAATTATATATATTATAATAAATATTTTTTGTATTAATTCAGTAACTAAAATAATGTAAAATTTAATTATTAAATCTTAAGAAATTCTACTTACGAACTTCTTCGTATGAATCGTTCGTTAAATTGTTAACAATATTTTTTCTATTGAAGTACTTGTGTCCGCTTCACCGGTCAAGTGCATTAGACATTGAATTAGTAATGAGATGCATTCGCAGCGAGAGCCCGTGCCACGCTCGCCCAAAAATTACTCCGCGAAATATTGTAAATGCAGTGTAGTGTATAAAAATATTCGCGTACTTTATGTTTAGATTATATAGTGTTGTGTATAAATATAAAAAAAACTGTTACAGAATTCGTGTTTTGTATAAGACTGCTGTATGTGCTATAACTGGTGTATGCAATAAACATTAACTTTATTAACTCAGTGTCTATATTATTGGAGTCCCTATATTATTATAATCTGTAAGTACAACATCAGTTATACTGGTGACCTTCCGACATTTGAGAAAATAAATCCTACCGAAACCATGGCAAATAAAAATTTAACGACGCCTCTGACGCAGAACGTCGAAAGTGAAAATTTCGATGACGCCACAAGTGGAGAAATTAAATCTAATGCATTTAGAGTAGGTGTTCGACCACCTCCGTTTTGGCCTGACAGACACCACAAAATTTTATTATATTGTATCCCAGCTTGATCACGAATACGCAGCTGAAGTGGAGGATGTCATTATCAACCCGCCTAGAGAAAATAAATATGAAACTCTTAAATCTGAATTGATTCGTCGACTTTCCGCATCCCAAGAACAGAAGGTAAAACAGCTTTTAATGCACGAAGAGCTCGGAAGTCGCAAACCGTCACAATTTTTGCGTCATCTTATTCATCTAGCAGGTCCTAGTGTTTCCGAAAATTTTATACGCACAATTTGGTTAAGTAGACTGCCTCAAAATATGCAGGCCATTGTTGCATCAAATGCTGAGACGCCCTTAGATAAATTGTCTGAATTAGCTGACAAAATAAATGACATCTTGCCTCGAGGACACTTAAACGAAGTTTCCCCATCGACATCTTCCTGCCCACCGCAACAAATTCCTACACCCTACGCTGCTATGGAAGCAATGGCCATTCAGATCGCGGAGCTAACGAAACAAGTTTCTGTATTAACAACACAGATGAACAGGCAAAGCAGATCCTCGTCACGCAACAGGCGATTTAGGTTCCGTTCACGATCTCGGTCGCGCTCAGACAGAGGTATATGTTGGTACCACAGGAAATTCGGTGTCAAATCAACAAAATGCACAACACCCTGTAATTTTGTGTCGGGAAAAGACCAGGGCAGCCATTAGTGGCGGCGAATGACTGCCAGACTTGTAACGGCCGTCTTTTCATCACAGATAGAAAAAGTAAAATTCAGTACCTTATCGACACAGGTTCCGATTTATGTGTTTTTCCACGGACCATGATGAAGGGTCCATTAAAAAAGTGCAAATACGAACTTTTCGCAGCTAATGGTAGCGTCATTTCCACTTACGGCTACCTACAACTTCATTTGGACTTTGAACTTCGTCGGGATTTCACTTGGAAATTTATCGTGGCAGATGTCTCCAAAGCCATCATCGGAGTTGACTTTCTAAGTCATTACGATTTATTAGTCGACTGCCGGCATCATAGACTAATCGACGGCCTCACAAGTCTCTCTATAACAGTGCCTCACCACAAAAACGACCAAATAGAAGCCATCAAAACTGTTAATGGTAGTTCAAAGTATCACGAATTACTTCGTCAATACCCTACCATAACGAAACCGGCTGGAACGACCACAGAACCCAAACACAACAGCAAACATCACATTCGCGTTAGTCCAGGACCTCCAGTAGCAGCACGACCTCGTCGTTTAGCTCCTGATAGACTCCTTATAGCTAAAAAGGAATTCGAGGAAATGTTGAAGAACGGCACAGCACGACGCTCAGAAAGCTCTTGGTCTTCAGCACTACACTTAGTGCGCAAAAAAGACGACGGCTGGAGGCCTTGTGGTGATTACCGATCGTTAAACGCACGAACCATCCCGGATCGCTACCCACTCAGAAACATTCAAGATTTTGCTCATCAGCTAGCTGGTTGTAATATATACAGCAAATTAGATCTAGTGAAGGCTTACAACCAGATTCCCGTAGTTGAGAGTGATATTGAAAAGACAGCGATCACGACTCCGTTTGGGTTGTTCGAGTTCCCATTTATGATGTTTGGCCTCAGGAACGCAGCCCAGACGTTCCAAAGATTCATAGATGAGGTGCTTCAAGGACTAGATTTCACATTTGGATATCTTGACGATATATTAATATTCTCACATTCAGAAGAAGAGCACATGGAACAGCTCAAGACACTTTTCCGCCGACTTGAAAAGTACGGAGTACTTATAAATACTTCTAAAAGCATACTAGGTGTCAAAGAAGTAGACTTTTTGGGTTACCACATTTCAGTGCAGGGAACTCGTCCAATGGAGACGAAGGTAGCTGCAATCAAAGACTTCCCAATACCTAAAACAACTAGAGAACTCCGAAGATTCCTCGGTATGCTAAACTATTACCGTAGGTGTTTGAAGGATGCAGCAAGTACTCAAGCTCCACTTCTTGATGCATTATGTGGCAAAAATATTAAAGGCTCCAAACCTATAGTCATGACCCCCGAGATGCTGAAGGCATTCGAAGATTGTAAATCCTCGCTCTCTGATGCCACCATGCTAGCACATCCAAATCCTCACGCAGGATTATCACTCTACACTGACGCATCTGATAAGGCCATAGGAGCCATCCTACAGCAAAAAGTGAAAAACTGCTGGGAACCCCTAGCGTTTTTCTCCAGGAAACTTACGTCAGCACAGAAGAAATACAGTCCATATGACAGAGAACTACTGGCAATATACGAATCTATCAAATACTTTCGTTTTATGGTCGAAGCCAGGCATTTTACGGTGTACACCGACCACAAACCTATCACCTTTGCGTTTGTCACCAAAAGAGACAACTGTTCTCCACGCCAACACCGATACTTAAGCTTCATATCTCAATTTACCACGGATATCAAGCACGTGTCAGGCTGTGATAAAACTGTTGCTGATGCGTTGTCACGAATTGAGGCTATATCTGAAATACTTAATTATGAAGATCTTGCAAACGATCAGAACTCAGACCCTGAACTGCAGAATCTAATTAACAAGGGAACAGCGCTTCGATTAGAAAAGATCAAGTCACCCGAAGCTACAATATATTGTGATGTATCTACACATACTCCGAGGCCATATATTACTCCACAATTCAGAAGACAAGTCTTCTCCCAAATGCACAACCTTAGTCATCCCGGAGCTTCAGCCACAGCAAAACTCGTCTCCGAAAGATTCGTGTGGCCCGGTGTTCGTCGAGACTGCAAGGAATGGACGAAACAATGCACAGATTGCCAACGCAGCAAAATCAACCGCCATACCTCTTCACCTTACTCCACTTTCCCTACTCCATCACAACGTTTCTCCCATATCCACATGGATATAGTAGGGCCGTTACCGCTTTCTTCTTGTTACAGGTACTGTCTCACCGTCATCGACAGATATACTCGATGGCCTGAGGCCTACCCATTAGAAGAAATTACGGCGGAAACATGCGCCAAAACATTCATCAGCGGCTGGGTAGCCCATTTCGGATGCCCACAGAAGATCACCACAGACCGGGGACGGCAGTTCGAGTCAAAATTATTCCAGACCGTCGCATCGCTCATCGGTGCCAAGGTGACTATAACCACTTCATACCACCCACAAAGCAACGGTATGGTAGAAAGGCTACATCGGCAGATAAAAAATGCAATTAGGTGCCACAATAACCCGCAGTGGACAGAAATCCTTCCACTAGTGCTTCTAGGTATGAGAAGCGCCTGGAAAGAGGACCTCAAAACATCAACCGCAGAATTGGTATACGGAGAACCTCTACGATTACCAGGGGAGTTCTTCGTTCCCTCACCAGACTTCACCGCTGACATCAAGGATTTTGCATCTCGCCTTCGACGGCACATGGCTAATTTAACACCTCGCCCAGCTAAATGGCACGGAACTAAAACTTTCTACATCCCTAAAGATCTTCAGACGGCAGAATACGTTTTCTTGCGTCAGGGACCAGCTACACCATCATTGGAACCTCCTTATTCAGGCCCATATAAAGTCCTGGAAAGGGGCCCTAAGACCTTCAAATTAATGGTCAAAGGTACAGAAAGTACGGTTACTATCGACCGACTCAAACCTGCTTACCTTCACAGCAGTGGATCACCTGCTTATCCAGAGGAAATAACACACACAGAAAAGGAAGCCCAGGCCCCCACAACGGATCAAAGTGAAAGTACTCTGAAGAAAACAAATAGCGGCAGAGTAGTGCGCTTCCCAGATTACTATCGCCCGTGAAACGGTCTCGGCAGGGGAGTGATGTGGCATACCACCTTTAAATAAATTTGAATGTCATTATTGTATAATAAAAATAAATAAATTTTATCTATAAAATCACATTTTCAAAATTCTATATTAACTAAATTATATATATTATAATAAATATTTTTTTGTATTAATTCAGTAACTAAAACAATGTAAAATTTAATTATTAAATCTTAAGAAATTCTACTTACGAACTTCTCCGTATGAATCGTTCGTTAAATTGTTAACAATATTTTTTCTATTGAAGTACTTGTGTCCGCTTCACCGGTCAAGTGCATTAGACATTGAATTAGTAATGAGATGCATTCGCAGCGAGAGCCCGTGCCACGCTCGCCCAAAAATTACTCCGCGAAATATTGTAAATGCAGTGTAGTGTATAAAAATATTCGCGTACTTTATGTTTAGATTATATAGTGTTGTGTATAAATATAAAAAAAACTGTTACAGAATTTGTGTTTTGTATAAGACTGCTGTATGTGCTATAACTGGTGTATGCAATAAACATTAACTTTATTAACTCAGTGTCTATATTATTGGAGTCCCTATATTATTATAATCTGTAAGTACAACATCAGTTATAGACAGTGATTTTTTTCGAACCAGTGGTAAAGTAAAAAATGATTTTCAATAAGAATTACACATGTGATGTATATTGAATAAAAAATTATTCTATTCTAATCTTTGGTTTCATCTGTGATCTTTATTTTATATGGCTTTTGGCAGGAAATTGTCCGGCAGCGATTTGCTGCTCCTGTATTATCGTTTAAATAATGGTTTGAAGTGGATTTTGATATGTAAAAGTGGAGCGATTTTGTGTATTAAGTGTCTGCGCATATGAACTATTAGTGGAAACGGTGAAACAAGTGCTCTGATGGTGATGTGATTTTCAAGATAAGGTGTCTGTTTGCTTAGGATACCATCGCCAACTATCAGCTGTCTGCTGGCTCAAGTTGCCGTCAAAATCTCCTTAGGGCTGCACAATGCTACGCATAAACATATTGTGAAGCAGTATACTATAAAGGATAATTGTAACTTCAGGCTCAGAAGGGCTAGAAACCAGAGCCGTAAAGCCAGTTATAAAAAAAAATCGTTATTTTACGTAGATAGAGTATTGACAAGATACTATGTCTAAGTATTGATAAGATACTATGTCTATGTTATTTTATTTATCTATGCTCCCCTGTGTTTCCACTTTAAGGGAGATCGCATTTTTTGGGTGAAACCGCTTGTTTAAAGGTAATATTGAATAATAAAAAGAATGTAAAGGTGGTAACATTATTTTAACATAGACTTCGCCATTCCGAAGTTCCTAACACATTATTATTCGACAAATTACTATAATTATATGAGTTAATTGATTTCTTCTGTCATCTTCTCTTCTGACATCTCACACAGACAAATGACCATCAATTAAAGAAAAAAAAATACCTGCAAAAAATTAAAATTTCATGGTTGGAGAATCTAAATTTCAAGAATTGGCTGATACGTCTGAATTATTTAGACATAAAAAAAATGGCAAACACGTTAAACAGATGGTCATTATAACAAAATGTGGTAAAAAGTCACAGTTTTTAAGTAAACACCTGAACCATACCAATAAGGTTTTACAAATGGAACTAAAGATAAATGGTTTTCCTGTACCGTCTACTTCTTCTCTTGACTAATTGCTTACTACCTAAGTAATAAGCGATTTATGATGGCAGAAAAACGCTTTATTAAAATAAAAAATGATGTGTTTGTTTTATTTCTAATTCTTTAAATTTTACGCCCTAAATCAAGGATTTTCGGAGACTAATTTTAGCTTGCTACATATATATTTATCTATGACTAATTTGAGGTACTTAGGGCAATTGTCAAAAAATCTAGTGCAAAATTAAAACCTGATAGTGGAAGCACTGATGCTGCCCTTAGTAGTCTGTTGCTACATATTTATTTATCTATGGTCTGTTGGTAGCATAGACTTAGAATATGTATATTAAACGTAGTGATCACAGACTAATATGATACTAACGTAACGTAACGTGGTAGTGATTTAGTAATTATATTCTCTTTGATGTATATTCAAGTCTATGGTTGGTAGTCTGTGACTGTGATCTATGCTGTTGTGATTGTTGATAGCACCAAGCCCAAGATTTATTTTAAAATTAATTTAGTTAACTATAAAATTGAAGAAAAATATTTAGACAGGTAAATTTTAAGCATGCTATGATATGTAAACTGATAACTAAATGGTTTTGCAATCCAAACATATTACTTATTTTTTATATATTTGTATTAAGAGATAAGAGATATTAATTCTCATGTATTCAATTAGCAATAAAGTGAAGCTGGTTTCAATTACGAAATCTGCCGTTTCCTTCTTTTTAGTTCCACAATGGCTGAGCTCGCGGCGTTACTACAAACTGAAATCCCTGAGGGACGAAACCATTTGACGGACAGCCACACAAACCTTGAGCGTGTTGCAGAATATTGTGAAGCGAATTACTTTCAGTCAGAAAATAAACGACTTGCTCTTGAAAGCACTAAAAATTACACTACACAATCCTTAGCCAGTGTGGCTTATCAAATAAATACTTTAGCGTATAACTTTCTGCAACTTTTGGAGCTACAAACTATGCAGTTGGCTGAGATGGAAGGTCAGATGAATCATATATCACAAACTGTAGCTATACATAAAGAGAAAGTTGCCAGAAGAGAAATTGGGGTATTAACTGCTAATAAAGTGACTCCTAGGCAATATAAAATAATTGCTCCAGCCAATCCAGAAAAGCCGATTAAATATGTTCGAAAGAGCATTGATTATACAGGTAAGTCATTTATGTATTTACAATTTTATTTGTTATTGTGTCTTGTGTCTGCATCAGAAACATTCTTTAGTTTTATAGTATTAGAGGTTGTAATGTTTAAGTTATTTTATTCAGTGTGGCCTTTGATATTGTGTTTAGGCCACAATAATTCTGCCAATCTCCAGTCTTTGATCTGTCACATCTTGTCTTGAGGCTTATTGGTGGGAAAGGATTTGGTAGATGATAACAGCTCTTTTTATTTTGTCTCATAGATGTAGCTAAAAATGTTAAATTGTTTGAAAGAGAAACTTTTTTTATCCAATATAGATTAAGATCTTACTTGACTTATTGAAAGTCACTCTTTTGTTTAATTACCATTTGTTTGAAAACAAAACTTCAGTCTTGGGAAGAACCAGCAAGAAACCCAGTAGGACTTTTTAAAAATAACAGCTCACAATCATGCATGTTACTCAATTAAACACACAAAATTAATTAGAAATAGCTTCGTAGCGATCACCTCATTCCCAGGGGTTATTATCATCCATAAATTCCTTAATATTATAATAACCCTTTTTATACAAACTTTGTTTAATAAAGTTTTTGAACTTTGAGCAGGTCAAATTTTGTATATTTTCTGGGATTTTGTTGTAAAAGCTTATACATAGCATGAATTACTGACTCGGTGGAGGTGAGTAAAAGTGCCATTCCGTAGCCGAACAGGTATTTGTATGGCCTACAAATAATTGTTCCGGGTCTGGATGTTTATCCTTGTGCAATTTATGTTTGTAAACTGCCTCCACGACACAGGAGAAAATCCTAGTGTGGGGGTAACATTTTTTAAAGAAACAAAAAAAAATTATTTCCACCAACAATATACATTCAGAAAACAACAAAAAATATGTGCTTACATCTGATACTATTACTATTGTTAGGTGAAAAACTGGTGCCTAAACTAGGTAAAACATGTATCTTAGGTCACCAGGTCCCCACCTGTAGTTATCCATGGACAAAATACATAGATGAAGCTACAATAAATGATTTCCTTGGCAACTAAACAATACAACGAGATTTACTTATATTCTAGTAAAAAAAAAAAACTCATAAGAAAGAGAAAAAAAAAGGGAATGTCGCACTAAATAGCAAACAGAGATTTTACTTTTTAATGGTCACAATTAGGACACATAATTGAGTAGAATAATAAAATTTGTGTATGTGTTTGTGAGTAAATAAGTAGAGTTACATAAATAAATAAAAACAGTATAGTTAAATATATGTATATAGATATTTTATTATGTTAATGACATACATAAATATTATTATTACACATATATATACTTTATAAATCACTACACTTTATTTTTAGTTTATACTTTTTTTAAAATTGTATTATTATATACATATATTATCACCTCTTTGATTGCTTTAATAATTCAATAAGTTTATAGACAATATAAAAATTATGGAAGTTACATCAAGCACTTACTAAATAAGAAAATAATAATTATAATTACTTAATTAATAATTCTTATTAAATTTTTAGTATCATCATAGCTTAGGTTAAGTAACCAGGAGGTAACCTTTATTCTGCATTCGTATGATTTTCCCGTTACATAAGTTGTATAAATATGGACCAAGAAAATCAAAAAATCTTTGTGTGAATTTCGTTTTAATACTTTGCTCGTCCACACCAAATCATATCTTCGCTTTTTGCTTTTGAGCTCTGGATCAGAAAGAACTAAGCAATGTTGTCTTTGTATAACCGATTGGAAAATAGCTGTCGCACAAATAGTACTTTCCATTCCTTGTAAAGTTCTTTAGTAGGGTTAAGAAAATTACGAAAGGATGCTACTTTTAAGATTGCTCTTTGGGCTCTTTCTAATAGTAATAGTGATGTTTTCAACGAGCCTCCCCAGGCAGATGTAGAATAGGTCAAAACGGACTGACACAATGCATAATATACTGTTTTGATTAAGTTAAAATCAGCAATATGACACAAATTTCTGAATATATAAATTAGTTTACGTACCCTAGTTTTTAAGAGAGTAATGTGCTTTTCAAACTTTAGATGCTCATATATACGAGGGTGGATTGAAAAGTACTCGGCCTAACCAAGAAAATAAACAAATACTAAATCAGTTATATTTTTATTTTTCTACATAATCACCATCAAGTTCAATACACTTTTGCCACCTCCCCTTCCAAGCATTTAGACCGTTGAAAAAAAATGATTCTTCCTTAGAGTCAAAATATGCGTCTACAGCTGCTTTGACCTCGTCGTTTGTCGAAAATCTTTGACCTCCCAAGTGCTTTTTTAGGTTAGGGAATAGAAAGAAGTCTGATGGTGCCAGATCAGGTGAATACGGCGGATGCGGTAACAGTTCAAAGCCACAGTTGTGAATTCCAGCCATTGACTGTACTGACGTGTGAACACGGGCGTTATCTTGATGAAACAGGACTTTTCTTCTGAGCATTCCTCGACGTTTTTCTTTTATTTCCTCTCGTAAACGACGTAGTAAGGTGCAGTAGTAATCAGAGTTTATATTCTGACCCCTTTCAAGATAATCAATCATAATCACACCTTTCGAGTCCCAGAATACTGAAGCCATCACCTTATTTGCCGACAAAATCGACTTAGCCTTTTTAGGGGGTGGTGAACTAGGTCTTCTCCACTGTTTTGATTGTTGTTTTGTTTCCGGTGTACAGTAATGATATGGAACGAAACTACTACGGACGGAAACTACAACCTACCCATGAACATACCCATGTTTCGTCCATAGTAACAAAACAATTCAAAAAATCATCTGCATCGGCTTCAAATAACTCCAAACAGTCGCGTGAAATAGTCAATCGCGTCCTTTTTTGTTCAACTGAAAGCAGTCGCGGAACCATCCTCGCAGACACCTTGTGGAAACCCAACTCGTTGACAATGATGTTTTGAGTTCGTTCATAAGAGATGCCTATAATCTCGGCTATCTCTCTAATTTTTAATCTGCAGTCTCCCATTATTAAATCAAGTACTTTTTTAATATTTTCGTCAGTAGTTGACGTCGAAGGCCTTCCAGAGCGGGGTTCATCTTTCACACTCTCTCTACCAGGCTTAAATTCTGCTATCCATTTTTTGACGGATGAATATGACAGAGCACAATCGCCTAATGTACTGACCATGTCATCATGGATGGCTTTTGATGATAGCCCCTTCTTATGGAGGTACTTATTGACGGCACGCTGCTCGATTTGCTCCATTCGCGGAAATTATGTCCGATTACTTTTTAATAAATTTATAAAATCACAACTAATTATCGCACACGTTTCGAACTTCACACAATGAACTAGTCTGAACTGAACTAAATAATGTGGGTAGATTTGATTTTTAGAATTGAATGGATCTGTGTTAGGCCGAGTACTTTTCAATCCACCCTCGTACATCTAAACACCTAGATATTTAATAGATTTAGTATTGGTTAATTCTGTGCAAGAACCACAAGAGTGAACAAACAATTCGTAGATGTTTGTGGTGGAAGAGACAACCATTGAATACCAAAAGTAATGTACATTGTTTTGTCTGTGTTAATTGTCAAAAGGTTACAAGATAGCCACCGAGTGACGAGATAAGTCCCATTTGGGCAATTCTAAAAACCTCCTCCCAATTGTCGTCCGAGAAAAGGAGACATGTATCATCGGCGAAACAGATGATTTTACCATGATCTACTTTCAGGTTGCATAGCCCATTTATATAAGCCAAGAATAGGGTTGGATCGACTATACTGCCCTGCGGTACACCAAATTTAATAGAAAGTTGATAACTAGTATAGTCGCTAATTTTGACGCATTGGGTTCTGTTGTGGAGGTAACTTTGAAAGAGGTCCAACTGTTTATCCCTAACACCCAAAGCTTCCAGCTTATTTAGGAGTATGCGGATAGAGATCGTGTCAAATGCTTTGGCTAAGTCAAGAAATACATCAATATATTTTGTACCGGCAACTAGGTTTGAAACTACATAATTAGTTAGATCTAGTATTGCGTCATTAGTACATTTATTTTTACGGAATCCATATTGTTGTTGAGATAAAAGATTGTTACTTTCAAAGTAGTCCGGGAGTCTAGTATTTATTATCCGTTGGATTATTTTAGACATTGCAGGTAATATAGATACTGGACGGTAGTTCGTGATACGATCTCTATCGCCATTCTTATGGGTAGGAAGTATAACATATTCTTTAAACACATCGGAAAAGATAATGATTTCTTATATTTACATGAAGACTACACAGTAAATTAAACTAATTTTTACAGATTTTATCGCGTTTAATTTAACTTTTGCATTCCCGACGATTCGGTTGCTTTACAGCACCCATGGTGACAAGGGGGACTGAGGTGTTTGACGTCTCGATGTCATAGCTAGCCCAGCTACCTTCAGTTTTGAATATTAATTTTTGGTCCGATATACGCAGAATGAGCTTACAGTATCTTGAAGTCTTGCGGTGGTATGCTTGGGTTTGGATTTAATTTTATTAATTATACGATCCCAAGCAAATGACCCATCCATCTTCTCTATTGAAATTAGGATGTTATGACCACATTCACAATCCAGATTGTACACTCCTGCATCTTGTAGAGAGATATAACACTTGACGGATGGTAAAAATTGGCTCAAATGCATGGGAGAATTCAAAGGATGCTTTGGGTATATTCTGTGACCTATCCGAAGCCTTGGATTGTGTTCACCATGAAACATTAATTAGGAAAAAACAACACTACAGTGTAAGAAGTAATGCTCTTAAATTAATTGTTTCATATTTAAGTAATAGAATGCAAAAAGTTGTCATTAATAGTATGAGCTTTTCCGGGTCGATAGTACATATGGGCGTGCCTGAAGGCTCAATCCTCGGCCTCTTTCTGTTTCTTGTATTATATTAATGACTTACCTATATTATGGTTATCCCCTACTACATAGTATAACTTCAAGCCGCCGAAGAAGCTGTGCCAGTGTATCGAGCCGATCAGAAAGAACTCGGTCGTCGACGGTTCGAACCGCTCTGCGCTGGATGCGGTCAAGTGATAGGAGCTGGCACTGGGGTGCCCCGGCCCAGAGATGAGAACAGTATTCCATGTGAGGCCGAACTTGCGCTTTGTAAAGTTGCAAGCGATGTGCCGGCATGAAATATTGTCTCGCTCTGCTGAGCACGCCAAGCTTTTTTGAGGCCAATTTGGCCTTCCCTTCCAAGTGACCACGAAACTGCACACTATTCGAAATGTCGACGCCGAGGATTCCGAATCTAGCTGAGGCAGCAAGGGGAGTGATGCTCCGATCAGCAAGGAAACTGGTGATCCATTTGCACAATTTCTCGGGAAGCACATAGGAAGGAAGCTTCGAAAGAAGCGCTTTGTGCCAGACCCGATCAAAGGCCTTCGCTATGTCCAAACTAACGGCCAATGGCTCCCCCTTGGACTCTACTGCCTCCGCCTATCTATGAGTCAGGTAGACCAGAAGATCACCAGCTGATCGATCCCGACGAAAACCGTACTGGCGGTCACTAATCAGATGGTGATCCTCAAGGTACCTCATGAGCTGGCAATTTATAATGGATTCCATTATTTTGGAAAACAAGGAGGTGATGGCGATAGGCCTGTAGTTGAACGGGTCTAAGTGGTTGCCTTTTTTAGGGATCGGGTGGACCAAAGCTGCCTTCCATGAATTCGGGACTACGCCTTGGGAGTAGGAGTACTGGAAAAGACGCGTTAAAACTGGTGCCAACTCCGGAGCACACGTTTTCAGCACAATGGGAAGTCCAGGAAGAAGAGTGCTTTGCGAACCGAGCGCTGTGTAGACCGCACATCCGGCATGGAGTACTCACACCGCGGAATGGTCGGCGGTGTGTTCCCCCCGTCATCTAGAGTAGAGTTGGACGCAAAGAGAGAGCTTAACAGATCGACTTTCTCCTTTGCGGCATGGGCCAGTGAGTCGTCCTCTCTGTGCAGAGATGGAAGAGATGGCTGACAGAAGTTCCCTTGGACAGCTTTGGCGAGAGACCAGAATGCACGAGTTCCCGAAGGAAGGCGAACTAGCTTCTCGCCAATTCTGCCGATGTGCTCAGAGCTTGCCTTGGCAATGACGCTTTTGAAGGACCCGGAGGCGGATTTATACTTCTTTTTAATAGCGCTGGTGTTTACATCCCGAGACGTTGATGCGTCAGCCCAGGCCCGGTAGCACTCCTGCTTATAGCGTGATGCTATTTTACAGGAGCGACCAAACCATGGCTGGGATCTGCCTCCGTTGGTCACCACAGGGAATAAAAAGTTTCATACCCTGAAGTACCACATCAGCAACAGAATCGATAACAACGCTGGGATCTTCCGGCGAGAAGCAAACCTGGCCCCAAGGGTAGGATGCAAAAAAGACCGCATCCCGTCCCAATCGGCCGACCTATAGGCCCAAACACGGCGGCAAGCTGCAGATCACAACTGCGATGGGAGCGTGAGTGGCACCGTACTCCGGATCAGACAATGGTCCGAAGAGCCCAGAGGGGCATCGACAGAGACCTGATATCTGTCCGGATGAGAGGTCAGCAGAAGGTCCAACAGGGAAGGCACATGATCCTCCACATCTGGGATCCCCGTAGGCGAAGTAACCGGTTGTGTTAGACCATATGCCAAGGCAAAGTCACGGACAGATCTACCCGCATGATCGGTTAAATGGGGACTAAGCCATTCAGCGTGGTGGGCGTTAAAATCACCGAGTATCATGATCTCTGCGGATGGGACCTGTTGTAGCACGGAGTCTGCAGCCATTTGGACGTGGTCGATGAGTCGGTCTGTGTCGGCATTACCGCTATGGGACCTATAGAGGCACCCGTAGACGCGGGGATGGTCGTCGCTATCTACGCACAGCCATAACATGGACAGGTCCGTACCTTCAAGACTGCCGAGGCGTCGAAAACAGATGTCCTCTCTGACGTATACGCAAATTCCAGCCCGGGAGACAAAGGAGTGTTCTAATTTGTACCCCGGGTAGGAGAGATATGAAGTATCAGCCGGAGAGGAAACCTCAGTAGTGGAATAGATTGGTTGCGGATGCTTAGCGAGGGTTTCTCCAGGGGTGCTCGTACCCTCCTGGGGTAGTCTTTTGTTTAATTCCGCTACCATGTTGATTGGGGGGGGGGGGGGGGAGGGGAATTGAGCCTCCGGCCACCTACACTCACCAAGCGCAACGCAGAGGAGATTCTATGAGGTCGTGGTACCACCCCGGTTCGAACCGGCCCATCCGTGCGACAGCAAAAGCTGCCGCGTAGCTACCACTGCAAAATTACAGTATGAACTGTCGGTTAATAATAATTGTTCAACTGATAATTCAAACAATTATCAATTTGTTTTTTTTTTATGATTTTTGTCGGGCAATTATCAATATGATGAATGTTATCATGACTGTTAATTTTATTTCATGTTCTCGTTCTCGAAGAGCTAGTGAATTAAATAGCGACTACAAAGAATGTGACTTAGCTATGTTATCTTTGTTTTTGGGAAATTTTTCGTGTTTCATAATGCGCACAGCCAAGGAGTGGAATGCCCTGCCGGCGTCTGTTTTTTCGAGTGCATATAACCTTAACCTCTTCAAGGTGCGTGTTAACAGGCTTCCCCTGGGCAAACTCGCTTCATCGTAGACCTCGTCTTTGCCCTTGGGCCAGATGGAGGTCAAGAGTGAGCCTAGTTTAATAATAAAAAAAAGTTTAAGGTCATATATTGTTTAAAGGCTAACGAATAGCATAAGAATTAGCAATTAGCGTATAAGTTGCGGCACGAGAGTCTAGCGGTGACCGTTATTGTGCATAAGTCGTCATTTTTGGCTTATTGAGTATAAGTCGCGCTGATTGGCTCGTGCATATCGTTCGCACGCGCTGATTGGCCCTCCAGTCGCATTCGTGCAATTCAATTCGTTCGCGTCCCCTCCACGTTTCGTTCAGCGCTAGACTTATGTGCCGCGACTTGTACTAAGACACGAAATTTCGCATATGCGAAATTGTATTAATTCCATTGCTACTAGATAACTAGACACAGTCATATTTGTAGTTTGAATTTTATCAAATTTTAAGGTATGGATTCTGTGAATGTTCTACAGCTCTAGATGATATTGGTCACGGTGCGCGTTGGAACGGCGGCTCTAGTGGTACTCCAAGGGGCCGCCGCTCAGTGTCAGCCCAGGGCTCCGCAACATTGCCGGCACCCACTACGAAGCCACCCACGCCCCCAGCCGCTATCCGCGCTGCCTCTGCCACTAACACCGGTACACTTGGACGAGGGACACTCGGTAAGTTTGTCTGGATTACTGTTCTCATCTCATCTTCTTCTCACAAAATAGGATCATCATTTTTCACATAAGATAGTACACTAGTACATACCTAGTAATACTACTTAGATAGACACTTAGATACTTTGTTTTAAAACAGTCAAACTGCCTATTGTATCTATGCGCTATGCAACCTGATTGCCCAGAGTGCTGAGTAGTGGAGAATTCTTATTGCAAAACAAAACCTGAGTAATAGCGGTGAACTTAAAATTGGTTAACGATAGTATTTGATATAGTTTAATTTTTAATAAAAGTCATTTCTCGGATTTTACTGCTTTTATGTAACTTTCCCGTATTCAGTTGGTCCTACCGTAACATACAAACCGTCAGGAATTTAAAATAATTTAAAAACCAAAAACTTCTATGTATCTGGCTCTGCGGCCTTAATACACTGCGCACTAAGTTACGGTCAATTCTCCGTAACTCCTTTAGTCGATTGCGAGCGGGCGAGAAGAGTAGTTCTTTGTTTTGTAAACTGCGAACATTATTTTCAACAATCTAACACTGATTTTGCTTAATGTGAATAAGAAAACGTTGTTATTATTTAGATGCTCACTTTTCAACGTGATTTGAAGTTTATTTCAAAGGTGAAGTTAATTAAGTAACATTATTTCATATTTGCCTAAAAACAGTAACTGTCGTAAATGAAAATACAACTGCGTGGCATACTTACCATGTCAGCTATTCCCACGCGCGCGCTCAACCCACAGTTGTGTGTGTTTTATTTTAGATTACCGGGCTGGTAATGTATACATAGAAGTTTTTGTTATGAACGCGATAAAATTTGTAACATTAATTTGTATTCAATGTTCATATTGAATGATGTATATAGGCAAATCGTCGCGTGAGTATCGCACCCCGCCCGCGGTGGCGCCTCCACAAGTGCCTTCGCACTACGCTCCAAACTACCCACGACGACCTCCCGGGTACTCCACGTTGCCGGTAGCACAGCCGCAGGTATCAATCATACAATATCATTCATCATCATCATCATTACAGCTTTTCATAAGCCCACTGCTGAACATAGGCCTCCCCCAAGGAATGCCACAAAGCACGGTCCTGAGCCACCTGCATCCATCGACTTCCTGCATGTCTTACCAGGTCGTCACTCCACCTCGTGGGGTGTCGCCCTACACTTCGCCTACCGGTAAGAGGCTGCCACTCAAGAACCTTTCTTCCCCATAGGTTGTCGGTTCTTCGAGCTATATGGCCGGCCCACTGCCACTTCAGCTTACTAATCCGTTGGGCTATGTCGGTTACTCTGGTTCTACTGCGGATATCCTCATTCCTAAGTTTATCACACAGAGAAACCCCGAGCATAGCCCTCTCCATAGTTCGCTGAGTGACCTTGAGCTTCCTCATACGGCCAAGCAGTGAAGGACCACGTCTCAGATCCGTAAGTCATCACTGGCAACACGCACTGGTTGACACATCATACAATATAGTATCTCTTATTATCTACAATAATCTCTTTCAGCACCTACCAGTTGTATACCTTTAAAAGAAAATACCACCACAAACATTCCATTATATAATTGTTATTGACTGTTTATCTATCTAGTAGTTTTTTGACAGCCTCGAGTGGTCGTAAACGCGATTGCTGATCATGAGGTCCCGGGTTCGAACCCCCGGTCAGGCCATAATCAGTTTTTGGGTTTTTCTGTCAAACAATTCTTAGTAGCAGCACATAATAAATATGGTAGCATTCCGAATTTGGCGGTGTTTCATCCGTGCCTTGGGAAGCACGTAAAGCCGTTGGTTGTGTGCCTAATCTCTCACTGGTCGTGTCGAATTACTGTCCGATGGGACTGTGTGAGTGAGGAAATAGAGATTGCATTCGTACTTGCGCATACACTCGGGTACTATAATTCTGTTCTGAGCAGATGGCTAGTCTCCGTTGAGGCTGGCTGCATATACCGGAATTCAGCTTGGACGATATTATTATTAGTTTTCTATGAATGGTACTGAGATCCCCCTTAGTTATAATAAACACTACCTCTCACTATCTATGTGTGGCGCCGTTGTTGTTTCGGCAACATCATAAACGGTGTGATGCAAATTGTAAATATATTATTGTATTATGTTATATCTGTTAAATTTTTCTTAATTTGTTATTATATTATAATATATTATATAATTTGTTATTATATTTTGCTTATAAATGCTAATCTTGACCTTGATTAAATGATTCCACGTTCTTGAGCGGGGTACGACCACGCTCTCACTCAAATAGTAATTTTACGTGGTAGAACCACGCTGCAGGTTGTAGCATGAATGGGTCGGCTCGACCGGGGAAGTACCACGCTCTCACAGAATACCAGCGTAAAATAGCATCTTAACGCTGCTGTGTATCGTATGGTGAGTGTAGAGAACCGGAGACTTTTTTACTGGAAACGAGGCATTCCATCTTAGTCCTCACGGGTGACAACTGGACAACAAACGGAGGATAATAACATATAGATAGCAGAACATATAGTGTCTATGGGACACAGCAGCCACTTACCATCAGGTGAACTATGTGCTCGATTGTCACCCTTATTCTGTAAAAAAAAAATTCTATCCCTCTATATACTTTGATTTCTAAAGTTTAGAGAGGGATAGAGATTGTTTATCAAGTATAGAAAGGGATAGAGAAGATGTGTTTGTCACAGGCATATTCACATGCTTAATGTAAATATGCGATTCAAGCCTGATTGGGATACAATCATAACAAAATGGTTTGGAGTTGCCATATGCCAGAAAAATCTTATGGCTCCAATTACATGGCGAAGTACGCCTAATGGAAGAGACCTGCCTATGTTCAGTAGTGGATTTTCACGGGCCGATAACGGTTTAGAGTAGTTAGTATAAGGCCCTTTCAAGTCCGCTTAGTTTGGTGTTTATATGAAAAAACAGCTCCTCTATTTTTTGGTGAAAACTTGCCCTAACTTCAAATGCAATAAGTATCCTGCAATTCGTAGTTGAAGTCATGGACGCATCCACTACACAACTAAGTCCATATATCACCCATTTATGTTTTCCTTAATAATACAGAACGCGCGACTCAGTAATCAGATACTCCGACCACAAAGCAACGCAATACTATGAAATATAATGGTAGATAAGTTTTCCATTGAACTATATTTTTGACGTTGGGTATATTAGTTGTAATGTAAATTATTTCGAAAGGTTGTAAAAAAAAAAGAGATAAAAAATGATTGTAAATGATTTATGCAATGCAGTAGGTAAGGCTGGACTAATGTTCGAAGATATGTTTTTCAAACTGCCGTGTCTTTAGTTTTTTGTATTATAGGGCGTTCAATAATATCATTGTTCTTCCTTAGGTTGGGATGGTACATCCTAATCAACATCAAACAAACTCGAACTACTCCCAGCAAGACCTACACTCAAGTATGCCACGTAAGTTTCATAACATAAGGTCTAAGTAAAATATTGTATCATTAGCGCTAGCATTTGGATGTAACCCTTCCGTTTTAAGCTTATGTATGCTATATTATAATAAATAGTTTAGTATAATGCAGTGGAACCAATATATGCAATTTTATCTCAATAAATATTGGCCTAAGCACAGAGTCACTATTAATTTGATCAATCTGTTATGTTGTTATAGTTTGGTTTATTTTGTTTCCAATGTATTCCCCTTGCCATTTTGTGTTTACAATAATTAAAATATAGTAGGTGATGACGGCGTAAGAGAATCCTTCAAACCATTTCATATCTCGACATTCAATAGATAGCGATATATCATCTCGTACTCGTAAATGTTAAATATTCAACAGGGAGCAGTTTTAAAAGCGATTACGGCGGATCTTACAATAGATGTCAATACCCAGGAAGAAGAGAGAAAGTTATGTCCATCCATTCATTGTTTTTGTATTTAATATTATCATTGCATTATGCATATAAACATGAGTGTCAGAACTGTTGAATTGATTAAATAAATAAATAATATTATTTGCATTTCAGCTCCACCTTCTCCATTGATTGGGTCCGACGGGGAGCATAGCCAACATTCAATGAGTCTTCCAGGACAGGTGAGTGTTGTTAACATAACTGAAAATGGGCTACTGGATGTAAATATTTATATTGATCAAATATTTTCGAAATTAATATGTATTGAATAAAATTAACATATATATGAATGTTATTTAAAATTATCGTCTGCACAATATGCACGTATATATATATATACGTGCACACTGTGCCACTTTTAATGAGTACTAAACAGATTCGGTTTGTGCTTGTAATTAGTGCTAGAAAAAATGGGCAATCACAACAGAATGGTGTGATGTCTGATACTCTGTTATCGGTCAATATCGACTGCCAAACGTAACGATTAAGGAAAATTTTCCCTACAACGGGGGGAGGTTCATGTCCAGCAGTGAGCTTTTAAGGACTGATAATAAGGAAGAAGACAGCATTTTAAAAATGGCCATGCAAGAAAATAAACTAGAAATGAGAAGATTTCAAATCGTCTTCAAAAATCGTATCCAGACTGTTGACGAGCAATCGCATCAATGTGCGACATCTAGTAAATTCTTTCTACAACGTGAGAGGCCCAAGTCTAACTGTGAACTTTTGTAAGCTGATATTGATGAAGTAGAAGATAAATACTTAATAAAACATATAACATAAATATATAACTAAATAGATACATAAAAAACTTTCTAGATTTTTAAATATTTATTCTAAAAGAGTCGTCCTTTAATCATGCGAGGTTATAACAGGCGTAAAGGGTAAAAAAATCATGATGAAGTGGGATATTGTAATAGTTTGTTAAACCTCTCATATTATATAATTTACTTATTTTAAAAAAAGGTGTAAACCAGTGGTAAAGTAAAAAAATGACTTTCAATAAGGATTATATGTAATCTATATTGAATAAAAAATATATTTTATTCTATACTATTCTATCTTATTGTGTCCTAACAATCACGTGGATATTTTCGTGCGACGAAGAAATGTAATTTAATGCGTGACTTCTAAAATATTTTACCATTGTCTACTAAATTATCTATTTTATTAATATTTATGATTTATTAAGAATCTAATTTTATGATATTTTTTATTAAAACAGATCTTAAAAATATTTGATTTTTTTTTCAATAATAAAAATACACGTGATACTAAAAGAATATGTAGAAAAAGGGTAGCCTAAAGCTTACAATATATAAACAAAGAAGATGACGGGGGGGGGGGGGGGGGGGGGGTTACAAGAGTGGTTTAAAACCTCACGTGATTAAAAGAAGGTTACTTTTGTATATATAATATGGTCTCAGCGGGCGCTGGGTGTGTTATAGGTTTGTTTGTGTGTGTGCAGCGCGCGTCGTCGTCGTCGGGCGGCGCGTCGGTGCGCGGCGGGTCGGTGTCGCCGCCGCTGCCGCCGCCGCCGCGCGACGACGAGCTCGCGCACGACCGCGCGCTGCACGCCAACGTAACGCGCACGCACACACGCACACACCTACACACATCTACACACATCTACACGCGCACACTCCTGCCTGCTCGATGCCGCCGCCGCGCGACGACGAGCTCGCGCACGACCGCGCGCTGCACGCCAACGTAACGCGCACGCACACACGCACACACCTACACACATCTACACACATCTACACGCGCACACTCCTGCCTGCTCGATGCCGCCGCCGCGCGACGACGAGCTCGCGCACGACCGCGCGCTGCACGCCAACGTAACGCGCACGCACACACGCACACACCTACACACATCTACACACATCTACACGCGCACACTCCTGCCTGCTCGATGCCGCCGCCGCGCGACGACGAGCTCGCGCACGACCGCGCGCTGCACGCCAACGTAACGCGCACGCACACACGCACACACCTACACACATCTACACACATCTACACGCGCACACTCCTGCCTGCTCGATGCCGCCGCCGCGCGACGACGAGCTCGCGCACGACCGCGCGCTGCACGCCAACGTAACGCGCACGCACACACGCACACACCTACACACATCTACACACATCTACACGCGCACACTCCTACCTGCTCGATGCCGCCGCCGCGCGACGACGAGCTCGCGCACGACCGCGCGCTGCACGCCAACGTAACGCGCACGCACACACGCACACACCTACACACATCTACACACATCTACACGCGCACACTCCTGCCTGCTCGATGCCGCCGCCGCGCGACGACGAGCTCGCGCACGACCGCGCGCTGCACGCCAACGTAACGCGCACGCACACACGCACACACCTACACACATCTACACACATCTACACGCGCACACTCCTGCCTGCTCGATGCCGCCGCCGCGCGACGACGAGCTCGCGCACGACCGCGCGCTGCACGCCAACGTAACGCGCACGCACACACGCACACACCTACACACATCTACACACATCTACACGCGCACACTCCTGCCTGCTCGATGCCGCCGCCGCGCGACGACGAGCTCGCGCACGACCGCGCGCTGCACGCCAACGTAACGCGCACGCACACACGCACACACCTACACACATCTACACACATCTACACGCGCACACTCCTGCCTGCTCGATGCCGCCGCCGCGCGACGACGAGCTCGCGCACGACCGCGCGCTGCACGCCAACGTAACGCGCACGCACACACGCACACACCTACACACATCTACACACATCTACACGCGCACACTCCTGCCTGCTCGATGCCGCCGCCGCGCGACGACGAGCTCGCGCACGACCGCGCGCTGCACGCCAACGTAACGCGCACGCACACACGCACACACCTACACAAGTCTACACACATCTACACGCGCACACTCCTGCCTGCTCGATGCCGCCGCCGCGCGACGACGAGCTCGCGCACGACCGCGCGCTGCACGCCAACGTAACGCGCACGCACACACGCACACACCTACACACATCTACACACATCTACACGCGCACACTCCTGCCTGCTCGATGCCGCCGCCGCGCGACGACGAGCTCGCGCACGACCGCGCGCTGCACGCCAACGTAACGCGCACGCACACACGCACACACCTACACACATCTACACGCGCACACTCCTGCCTGCTCGATGCCGCCGCCGCGCGACGACGAGCTCGCGCACGACCGCGCGCTGCACGCCAACGTAACGCGCACGCACACACGCACACACCTACACACATCTACACACATCTACACGCGCACACTCCTGCCTGCTCGATGCCGCCGCCGCGCGACGACGAGCTCGCGCACGACCGCGCGCTGCACGCCAACGTAACGCGCACGCACACACGCACACACCTACACACATCTACACACATCTACACGCGCACACTCCTGCCTGCTCGATGCCGCCGCCGCGCGACGACGAGCTCGCGCACGACCGCGCGCTGCACGCCAACGTAACGCGCACGCACACACGCACACACCTACACAAGTCTACACACATCTACACGCGCACACTCCTGCCTGCTCGATGCCGCCGCCGCGCGACGACGAGCTCGCGCACGACCGCGCGCTGCACGCCAACGTAACGCGCACGCACACACGCACACACCTACACACATCTACACACATCTACACGCGCACACTCCTGCCTGCTCGATGCCGCCGCCGCGCGACGACGAGCTCGCGCACGACCGCGCGCTGCACGCCAACGTAACGCGCACGCACACACGCACACACCTACACACATCTACACACATCTACACGCGCACACTCCTGCCTGCTCGATGCCGCCGCCGCGCGACGACGAGCTCGCGCACGACCGCGCGCTGCACGCCAACGTAACGCGCACGCACACACGCACACACCTACACACATCTACACGCGCACACTCCTGCCTGCTCGATGCCGCCGCCGCGCGACGACGAGCTCGCGCACGACCGCGCGCTGCACGCCAACGTAACGCGCACGCACACACGCACACACCTACACACATCTACACACATCTACACGCGCACACTCCTGCCTGCTCGATGCCGCCGCCGCGCGACGACGAGCTCGCGCACGACCGCGCGCTGCACGCCAACGTAACGCGCACGCACACACGCACACACCTACACACATCTACACACATCTACACGCGCACACTCCTGCCTGCTCGATGCCGCCGCCGCGCGACGACGAGCTCGCGCACGACCGCGCGCTGCACGCCAACGTAACGCGCACGCACACACGCACACACCTACACACATCTACACACATCTACACGCGCACACTCCTGCCTGCTCGATGCCGCCGCCGCGCGACGACGAGCTCGCGCACGACCGCGCGCTGCACGCCAACGTAACGCGCACGCACACACGCACACACCTACACACATCTACACACATCTACACGCGCACACTCCTGCCTGCTCGATGCCGCCGCCGCGCGACGACGAGCTCGCGCACGACCGCGCGCTGCACGCCAACGTAACGCGCACGCACACACGCACACACCTACACACATCTACACACATCTACACGCGCACACTCCTGCCTGCTCGATGCCGCCGCCGCGTGACGACGAGCTCGCGCACGACCGCGCGCTGCACGCCAACGTAACGCGCACGCACACACGCACACACCTACACACATCTACACACATCTACACGCGCACACTCCTGCCTGCTCGATGCCGCCGCCGCGCGACGACGAGCTCGCGCACGACCGCGCGCTGCACGCCAACGTAACGCGCACGCACACACGCACACACCTACACACATCTACACACATCTACACGCGCACACTCCTGCCTGCTCGATGCCGCCGACCGAAACGTCGCAGGCACATCAAACATTCACACTACACCCACACCAAACCCATTTGGTGTGTCCCAACAAGCACAAGTAGAATAACGGATGGGACGCGTCGCACCTGAAGCTGAAAGAGCCGCATAGGAGGCTAACAGCACCATCATCACGAAAAATAGATGCACACTTCTGCACGTGACGTACATTCGCACCCATGCAATACAAATAACTTACACACGCACATACACACACTTACCTGTGTGCACACGCACATACCCACGCATATACGCAACTACGTACGCATACACACGTACACACTCACATACATACACATGCACACTTACACGCAAACTCACACGGAACACGTCGTATTAACATTCATGCACAAAGACCAAATGTGAATGTGTACACAGGATAACGTAACATATTGTTAACAGACAAGCAAAACAACAACAGTAGATTAAAATTTTCCCAGAACAATAAGATAGTATCGTTTTCTATAGTTGTCGTAATGGGAAGAGTAAATAAATGTTTCTATAAATAGCGGCTTAGCCATCTTGTTTAAGTCACACGTAAAGTTATCAGGCTGGCAACAGTAGGCAGCGTCTAAGGCAAGAGACGTTTGCTGCTACAAACGCCAATCTGTCAAGCAAGGCGATTAAAGCAGGATAACATTACCATATTCATTCAAAGCTGCAACATTTTTTTAATAATATAAGTTTGTAAATAAGTACATAGTCCACCTAATTGTAAGAGGATGCTGTGGCCTATAGACACCTACATTTATCCTCGATTAAAAATCCAAATGTGTCCCTTTAGGACTACGGATGCCACTTACCAGTTAAAAAATCAAGTAAAAAAAGTGCGATTGCCATACGTCTGGTTGAGCGTGTGGTTTACAACATTTCCCCTTTCTATGGGGAATTCCTTCCTTGTCCTATAGTGACCTGTGGATGAGTAATATAGGAAAATTATCAAGACAGTATAATTACGGCGTACGAGAATCCACTATCCCATATCCTGTGGAGGTTGTAAGAGGTGACAGAGGGAAACTAAAACAGGAGATGGGTAGCAGCGTCTTCGCAAAAAAAAACACTGCGGATACCAACCCGCTTGCTAAGCGTGTCAAATATGACAAATATAAGATAATAATGGGGGTAAGCTCATGTTCAGTAGTGGATTTTTGTAATATTTTTATTTTATTTTAATAAAATTTAAAGTAATCCATTACAGCAAATTATGTGCCAACGGTAAGTGTACACGTGAGCAACTACTAAATCGTTAATGAAATGTGTTTATCGTTTTAGAATAAAATGAGTGCTCCGTACTCAAATGCGGTGCCTGCGATTGTGCCCGATGACGACGATTTACCCGGTTGGGTACCGAAGAATTATATAGAGAAAGGTATAAATATATTTGTAATATATCACCATTGTCTGTCAGGTGTTTTTTCTAATACAGTAAAACTTCGTAATAATTCGTCTAAACAAATAAATTAAATTGAAGTGTCTGTTTGTAATGTCAAATTTACAGCTTTCAACTAAATGCATATGAAAATATATATACGGCCCTTATAACAAAAAGACAATTTTTAAAATTTTTGTCTGCCTGTCTGTCTCTCTGTTTTTTCCGGCTAATCTCCGAACCGGCTGGACTGATTTTGACGGGACTTTCACTGGCAGATAGCTAATGTTATAAGGAATAACTATGGCTACTTTTATTTTAGAAAAGGAATTAGGATATTACCTCGCAAATGAAAACCGATAAAATCCAATCGTAATAGATTCCACGAGGGCGAAGTCGCGGGGAACAGCTAGTCTTAGAATATATTGAACGTAACAAGAATTTAATATTCATAATACACGGAATTTACGATAAATTTAAAATTTTACTACTCAAAATAAACAAATATATAGGGTCATTTTTAATTTACTAAAGACCTTTTGGGAATATATTGGTTGCATCATTACAAACAATTTTAGCGAAAACACTTTACAGAATATAATACATTTACAAAAAAACTAATTTTAAATTTTTATTGTCATCTCTGATTCCTTGTAAGTCTATATTTTCTATTACCTAAACAATTTCTGAATAAATCGTCGAAAAAAATGCCTTCTTTATATCAGTATCACACATTGTATTGAAATCAACCAATAAAATATATTTATTCAATAAAAATTGAATAAATATATTTCATTTTCTTACAGATGTTGTTGTTATGATGTAAATAATATATTCCCAAAAGGTCTTCAGTAAATTAAAAATTACCCTGTATAATATCAATATGTAACCTGATTTTTGATCGGTTTGTATCACTTCCAGTTGTAGCAATTTACGACTATTACGCGGATAAAGAAGACGAGCTCTCATTCCAAGAGAGCGCTGTGATCTACGTACTGAAGAAGAACGACGACGGCTGGTGGGAAGGCGTGATGGATGGCGTCACTGGCCTCTTCCCTGGGAACTACGTCGAACCCTGTGTCTAGAACATGAAAAAATGCCGATTAAGCATGTATTTGCTTTCAATTTAATAACTTATATGTAGCGGCACGAGTCGGGTGAACATCTTGACATGCGCAATAGTCGATTTATAGGTCTCTTTGATGAATTACAAGGACACGGAGTGGGTACGGTGAACATCATCCTTTCACGTGATCGGTCCGTTAGATCTTTTCTATTGGATCATCTATTGGATATTTACGTGTCATTCGCGTGCATTATATTGACTGGTAAATACACACGCGCAAATACTGTCACATGGTGCTCATGACTCGTGCCGCTATCACTCTCATAACTATTATAGAAGGACGTTTATAGTCTCTCACTATTTAGTTACTGTTGTTTGGTTACTGTTGAGTTTTTCACTATTTAGTTCAATGTTGCAAAATAGTTTAAAGAATGTAGCAGATAATTATTATTGTTTTATTACATACGATACCATTTAAGCGTTAGTGGAAGCGACAATAAAATCAAATTTGGTATATTATGACATTGCTTGTTTCAGGATATGCTTCAATAATTGAAACTGACTGTGCAAAATGTATTATTTTATTCATTCCGAATACAATGTAATATTTATAAAAATATAGTTATAATTGTAATCATATATTAAAATTAGGGATGTTACGGAAGTGGTTATATCGGAAGCGGAGTTTTTAAATTTTGTTTGTCGGAACCAGAACCGAAATCGGAACCGGAATCGGAGGTGGAGGCAGAAGAGATGTGTTAAGGGCAGGTCCATTGCACTGTATTTTTCTTTTCAGTTTCAAATTTTTTGATTTATTCAAATTCAGTGGCATGCACAGACTTTAAATGACTTTTTAACTAAGTAGTCGTACCTCCCTTTCCTGATTATATCTTCCCATATAGTTTACACTTTGCTGTATTCTCAGAAACTTCATTGAAACAATTCCAAATGGCACTTGATTCTGGCTTCATTGTCCAATTCAAATAATTTTGTTACACGTCAAATAAAACACTACTAGAACTCTAATAGGTATAAATGAAGCGCGAACACATCTGTGAACTTATTAAGTGGCGAAGCTTGCGAAGTCACTTATTGATTTCACGATGTCTGTCCGTCTGTCCCTCGATTATCTCGAGAACGGTTACGAATTTTCAAATTCTGTTTTCAGCAATCGATTACTGATCACCCAGGCATCTGAACCTCCTATTTTGAAACTGATTGCTCAACGGCAACCGTTAGAAACCGCTACAAAGCTGATTGCTTCGCCACTTTGCTATGCTGTTAGCTTGTTAGGTTTATTATTTGTATATGTTTGAGAAAAAATTCTCTAAATTCTTGTTAAGTCGAAAACTCGTTAACTCGACATTTTTGGCATTTCCCTTAAAATTCAAGTTATCGTGATTCCACTGTATAGGAATACCAAATATTAAATACATAAACAGGCGCGTGTGTGGTCAAGCGTAGTGATTATGGCAAATCCTTCCTGCATTGGGAGAGGTCCATTATCAGTTTGGGTTTTTACAGGCGATAAAAGAACAGTAGAAGAGGTAAATATTTAAAAACAGTGCCGGAAATGCATGACATTATTTACCTGAAAAAGTTACGTCGAAAATACCATGAACACAACACATTAATATGTACAATCTTTTAAATTTAAAAAATAATATTTTAATACTAATTACAACACACATAATTTACTCCTCTTTTCTACTATACCTAATGCCATTATCACCCTGTCCACCTTTATTTCAATTGCAAAATAATGCAATTTTATTATAATGAGTTTATATTATTTTACTCTCAAAATAAGTTTAGTTCATAGAAATAAAAAAATTATATGTAAGACTATATATATATTGCATATTCATATTTCAAATTTGTAGAAGGAAATCATGTTTAAGCAAATAAATTTAGCTGATAAGACTATGTAATTAATTTAAATTCAATCCATAATAATTTATAATATAGAAGAAAAGTATGTAACAAATATGGTTTTATTTAACAATCTTTCATGTAACCTTGGCGTGGTTTTTTCTAGAGTTCATTTATTTTACTGTACTATGGCGATGTAAAAATATCCGTTACCCCATATCAACTAGTGGGTGTCGTAAGAGGCTACAGAGGGAAACAAATCGGGATATGGGCAGCAACGTCTTACTAATAACGGCTCCGTGGCTTAGCAATTGAGTTGCAGCGCTAAGGGCCGCGGGTTCGAATCCCACACGGAAACAAGTATTTGTATGACCTACAAATAATTGTTTCGGGTCTGGATGTTTGTTCTTGTGCAAATTTATGTTTGTAAACTGTCCCCACGATACAGAAGAAAATCCTAGTGTAGAGGTTACGTTTTTAAAAAAAAATACTGCGATTAAAAACCTTCTTGCCAAGCGAGGCAATTATGGCAAATATCCCCACCATGAGACTATCTATGGGGGAAGCCTATGTTCAGCAGTGGACTTTAATAGGCTGTAACGGTAACTGTACACTGTGGTTCTAGATGACTCCCACCAACAACAGTAGTTACCATTATCGGTCTATTTGTTTCGCATTACGAGTTATTGGAATAATAACGAGTTTTAATTTCCGTCACAGTTTATCTTGTCTTAAATGTTGCCTTAAAATTATTATCTTTAGGCAGAGGCAGTAGCACTGCACAGTGCGAGAAAAATTACCTAAAAAATAATACTATTCCGCCGCTGCTCTGCTGTGTTCCGTTTGAAGGTTCTATACCCCATAAACAGTATAATTTCGCGCTGTTACCCATTTCATATTACACCTCAGAGATGACAACGCATCTTTGGCCTTATCTTAGGCCTAACGGTTGCAGATGTACGTGGACTGCAGAACACCATTGACCACCACTGACCATCAGGTAAGTTCGTTTGTTACTTCTTTATGAAAAAATGAGTCATCTCCAAATAACGTCCTGAATTCACTGAAACTGTACGTCCCTTTTGGTCTTAAAAAAGTACTCGCTGCTTATTCCTCCTACCGATATTGCAGTCCATACAATCACTTTATATTGTTTTTTAACCTTGTTTCGGATTCGTTGCACTCCAACGAAGATAGCAGTTTTTCTACTATCACTAATAGAAAACTTGTTTGGACACATGCTTTTTTTTCTTTTCTTATGAGCGCGTGGTCAAACTGCACTTAAAATCACAATAAACAATTTTATTTGTGATTGCGGGGTACGGCGGGTGCCTAAATACTAAGCAAAGAATTAACTATTTTATAGAATTTATCGTTTAATTTACCTACTTAGTTTTGTGTTATATTCCCCACATTTGAGGTGCTTTTCATCACCCATGGTCCCGGCGTCTGAGACGTCCTATTACCATAGTTAACAGACTACCTTCAGTTTTTAATTACTAATTTTTGGTCTAATGTACGCAACATGAACTTCAGTATGTTGAAGTCAGACACTGATAAGGTCACAGAGTACATTGCATATTGGTTGAAGTCCTGTAGTGGTATGCAGGGGTAGGAATTTCAAATTTAAATTTTTCTTATTTAAAACTAGTATAATTTACACTTATTTTATAAATGTCTTCCTTTCTAATGGGTATCTACACAATACAAGTTTATTATCATTCAATTATTCGAGTATTCTCCAGAAATTTCGAATGCCTTGGATACTAGGACAAATTCGGGGAAACCCTAGTCCGACATTTGTGCAATAAGATCTTATAGAGACAAAATCAAGTTGACTGAGATGTAATTTCAGAGTGGCGGGGAACCATTACCACACAAATCAGGTTCTATTTTTGGTACCAAGACCTGCGGTAAAATATTCACATATTCTGACCACTATTAAATTAAAGTATTTTTAAGAAATAAAAACAAAAGATACTTAGACTTTAAAAGCATGTTCAGGGAATATTCTCGTAATAGTTAGCTTGACCTAATTTTAATATGATTATTCATTATCATCCTCGTAACTGCCCATCACATTCACTCCTTATACAATGAATAATGAATGACAAAAGATATGATTTTGTCTAACTTCATTAATTCAGCTCAAGAACTAAGTTAACAAATTAAATGTTTAAATATACTTATTGGTTTGGAAAGTGAATTTAAGCACTTTCTATTTTTTTTATTTAAATACAGTTCATTTCATAATACATTATCAATTATTTTTAATATTAATACCTAGTTAATTAGATTTTAGTCGACACACATTTTTACTATACATGAATACAACCTTACTCAAAACATGCATTTTAAAATAAATGTTTTTCAATGTTTTTTAAACAATTTAAGTTTTTTTCTAATATTATTTAAACAACTGGAAAGAATCTAACAAGAATATTATTGACACCATATTTTTTTCAGGTAATTAAGTGATGATTAATCTCATTATATAAAAGAGAAGTCTTATTTTACAAAAACATCACTTAGGTGTTGTTGAATTTAATTAAATATGTTTGAAATTCAATGGAGATGCTCATTACATAACATGATTTTATAAATTTCATGTGGACAGTAATACATCCCAATTTATCTCATTGTTATAGACCTCTTGTTCTAACCATAACTCATAATTGTCTTTGAATTCGTCATCAAGTTCAATATTTGTTTCAAGTACACTGTTAATATCAGTATCAAGAGGAGTCAAATCAACTTCTTGTTCTCCCCCTGTACCATATCTCCTATGATTGAAACGGTCAACACTTGCCCTTAGTGCACATTCTTCCTCTTGGAAGTCCCACGGTCTTGCGTCAACGTCATTCCCAAAAGCCCAGTCATCATTTAGTCTATGCCGAACTTTAGAATAAATAGCACTAATCGTTTTCATATTTGTTTTTCTCCACTGCCTACCCAAATACTTTGTTTGCATTTTCAACAATTTTAAAACATAAAACTGCATTAATGCATGCCTGACTTTGAGAGTACGTTTTAATATTGGTGCACTTTTAAATACCACAAGCATCATAATTCGTGCATTCTTCCATTTTGTCAGCTTGTTTAAAATTCTTAACAAATTAATACAAGAGAAAACATTCCTCCAAGAATAGGGTACTGATGAATCTCCAATATCCAGACACTCCTTAGTTAATTCTGGTTGCTCTCCAATGACACAAGCAGGAAAATCAAAAATGGGAATAGTATTTTTGGCACTAACATATGATAGTGTATCTTGATTGAAAAACTTTAAAACTAATGGCATGCAATTAGCGTATACCAAATGTTGGGACATAAATTCAAATTGATAAACATGGTTAATTTTGAAATGTTTTAGAAGTAGCAATAGTATTGCTGTGACAGCTTTGACTATAATTTCTTTATGTCGGTTTACATCAATACCAAGCTTCAATGACTGCAGAACAGTGACTGGCATTTCTTCAGGCAATAGGTCAGCCATAATGTTAATAGAATATGTCTTAGCAGTAGATGTTGGTGCAGCCGCCAACAGAATTTTTAATAGAGCAATCATATATTGTGGTAAATTTGGAAGCATAGCCCTGTATAAGATCTCAGCTTCAGTTTCTTCAACTTCCTTTTCCCCTTTAGTAAGAGGGCTCCTTGCTATCTCAATTTCCCGCTCAGCTTGTATTTCTGAGAGACTTGTGTACATATGTTTTTTCAGTATTTCAACCCCTTCATGTATTGGCTGTGGGAGTCCAGCTACTGTCTGCCTATCACCTGGAAGTGAATACCCAACAAATTTGATTCTTACATTATCTAGGAACATATCAATGTCCTTTTGGCGAACTTTAGACTGCCAGGGTAGGCTTCTAGGCAACGGGGGAGGTGGTGGAGGACTATCAAATTGTTTAAAATACATATAGTAAGGGCAGTTTTGATTTGAGTTATTATTTTGCATATTATCTGCAGGCATAGACTGGAATTCCATTGGATAATCTTCTGAACCATTACCAGTTTCTTCTTTGTCAACAAAAATTTGTTCATCAGATTCATCAAGTGATGTTTGTTTCATAAAGGTTTGTCTGCGTAGGGCTCTTTCATTTTCTTTTAATTTTCTTTGTCCAGGATTTTGATTTTCCAGCATATCGGCAGCACTAGGTGGAGGAGAACTAGCCCGCATTCCTTTTATAATTTCCAGAGTATCTTCTGTAATAGGGGATAATCCATATTTTTCACGTAGTTTAGCTTTTCTTTCCTTAAGTTGTTTAGAACCACCTAAATATACAAGTAACACTTTCCATAACAATAAAAGGACTTTTTTCATTGGAAAGTATGGAGTTGTACCGGCACAGAGGTGTGTAACCATACTCAGTAGTTTCACAGGTAAAAGTTCATCACCAAATGGAGTACCAAGTTCTTCTTTGAAGTTCTTTACCAAATAAGAATATTCTGAATCAGGATTCTCTTTTTCTGTTCTCATGTGTTCTGTAATTAAATATAAAACTGATAGTATAACACGAAGGTTTGTCGAATCTGGCAGGGATTCAGCAATTTTTCTCGAAGCCATTGCAGAACTACTTCTAACTATTTCAAGATTCAATAATTCAATGAATGCTGCAAAAGTTCCCATGTCGTAAAGGGTCATAATATTAATACGTGCCCAATGCGCCTGTTCTGCATCAGACTGCATTTCTGCCCAACATCCCTGTGCCAAATAAAGAATGCACCGTGCAGCTCGCATACGGATGTCACTTACTGCAAGATCCAAGTGCTCTAATAGTTTCATAACTACGGTTCGCTGTTGTGCTAACGTTAGTCTTTGCCAGCTTGGTGGTAAATTGAATTCTTCCATTATGTCTTCAAACGCTTTCACATTAAGTTGAAATTCTGGATGTTCGGTGTAGCTATAAAGTTCAGCTATTTCATTGATTTGCGAATCACAATCGTCGTACACAAAATCTAATTCAGGGCTATCCATGTCGTTGACACAGTCTCCTTCTTCCATGGGGCGACGCATGTCGGGCAATTTTGTACCACTACGGCGACCGTTTCCGTTAGTCCCCATTTCAGCAGAACTTTTCAATACAAAGATATAATTTTACATTTCGATCCAGAAAAATATTACTATTGTTTTTAATAATCCATAAAATTGAAAGGCAAGAAAACTATTTATCCCTAGATTTGTAGATTTCTTCAGATTTCTTTGTCAATAAATCAAATGTCAAAATCATTTTTTTTACAACTGTCTTTACGGCTCTGGGTTCTAGCCCTTCTGAGCCTGAAGTTACAATGTATAATTATCCTTAATATTATACTGCTTCATAATATGTTGATGCGTCACATTGTGCAGCCCTTGGAAAATTTGACAGCTACTTGAGCCTGCAGACAGCTGAAATTTAGAGATGGTATCTCAAGGCGCCTAAGCAGACAGACACCTTATCTTGAGAATCACTTCACCATCAGAGCACTTGTTTCACCGTTTCCATTAATAGTTCACATACGCACTAAAATCCACTTCAAACTATTATTTAAACAATAATAATATAGAGGAGGGTAGAGCGCTACAACACGATTTACATCGTCTTCACACAAATTTAAGTTTTTAGTGTATAAAATGTGTATTCAGGACGTGCAAAAATGCAAAAAGTGAATAAAAGTCAGTGAACTAAAAACGTACACTAGACACTTGAACCAAGATTATCTGCAAAGCATAAAAAAGGAAAAATATAATAGTGAATAGCACCAGTGTTTACCAGTGCTTACTGTTTTTTACCGGACTTGATTGTAGATCGATGGTTAAAAAATAATCCAGACTCACGTAATCAGTGCAAAAGTAAAATACATTAAACATCAAAACAGCGATATTGTAGAACACTATAAACACAACCTATGAGGTGACATACGTAAAACTTTTTATTTGCAGCCGAAAAATTAGACAAAAGCGCTATCTATTGACTAGCGTCTATACTACTTACTACCAAAGCCGAACGATCGTAATCTAATCAATACACCACCGCAATAGTACAATAATTATATTAACAGCGGTCGCAAAACTAACTGGCGACATCTACTGGCGGGGTTTTATACTACTATACCAAACTAGTAATCAAAACTAATTGTTCTTAATTAATACATCAACGTAGTACAACAACGAAAAAAGAGGGCGCAATAATAACAATAAAATACTCTCAAATTTCCACTATGGAAGAAGTTCTGAACGCACTTCGTACCATACAAAAAGAGCTTGAGGAACATAAAACAATGATCCGCCAAAGTGGGCAAAATATACAGATCAAGTAACTCAGAATATAAACAAAATATTGGACGAAAAATTATTTGTATGGGAAGAATAAATTATGAAAAATTAAAAGAAAAGGTGGAAAATCAAGAGAAACGAATATACTTTTTAGACAAACAGTCAAGACAAAGAAATATAGTATTCTTTGGCATCGAGGAAAGAGAATCGTCATACGTGGAACTGGAAAACAACATCGTAAAGTGGATAGGAGAGCGTCTTTCTATTAGATTAGACCATAAAGACATTCAAGAGGTAAAGAGAATTGGAAGAAAAAGTGAAAAACCTCGGCCAATAATAGTAAACTGCAATACTCTCGGTCTCAAGATAAACATATTTAAACAAGAGGGAGCGCTGAAAGACACTCAATACTATATGAAGGAGGACTATCCACGGTACCTACATTTTAGAAAAAAGAAAGGAATTACAACAACGAATTATCCTAGAGAAAGAGAAAGGCAATACAGTAAGAATAAAATATGATAAATTGATTATAGTGAGACCTAACAATAAAAGAACACTACCTACATCACCTGAAAAATACCCTCTGCCACAGAACGATAGAAACATTCATGCCACCAAAAAGAACAAAACACTCCAACCACAGACATCGATCCGAAGATCAAATAGCTTATCAGATGGAGTCCTAAACCAGGTATGTTGAACTTCTTAGTCAACAAAAATACTCCCCTTTCCAGCAACCAAAAATAAGTAAATTAAACGCAATAAAATACGTAAAAGTAGTTTTATACAAAAATACTAACATTATAACAAACAACCAAGAGAACAAAGACAAGAATACATAACAACCAACTCACCCCTCCCACGAAGATCTCATACATGAAAATATTAAAACGACAAACAAAAAATCTTCCAATACGGCTGGTCACCGAGGAAGATCACGACCACAACCCTCCAAAGGAAAACACAGCCACGCTAACAAACCCTGCATCTATCTCACCAACCAAGCTTTACATATTAACTTACAATATAAGAACACTGTTATCGTACGAACGCTTAATAGAATTGGGAGAGGCAATAAATAATATAAAATTCGACATAATCGGACTATCGGAAGTAAGACGCCAAGGAGCTAAGATAGAAGAATATGACAATTATATTCTATGCCACATAGGACTTACACCTGGAAAGTATGGCGTCGGATTTTTACTACATACAAACACAAGAATAACATAGAAAACTTCATCGGTATAACAGATTGCACTATTGAATTTAAAAATACAAGGAAACGAATTATCTCTGATACAAGTATACGCACCTACGGAAACAGCGAAAGAAGAAGAAATTGATATTTTTTATACAAATGCAAACAAAGCTATTAACCAAGCACATAAAAATTTTATATTAATGGGCGACTTAAATGCAAAATTAGTAAAATCCAGGCAAGACGAATACTTAGTTACGAAATCAGATGGATATGGAGAAAGAAACCAGAGAGGCCAAAGATTAATAAACTTCGCGCTTGAAAATAAAATCGCAATCCTAAACACATTTTTCAAGAAAAAGTCGAACCAACGGTGGACATGGCGCTCACCAAATGAAACAAACAAACAAGTTTTTACACGATAAAACACAACACTTCATCCTTTTCTTCTTAATACTACGAAAATACACCGATTTGCGATTTTCAATAGATAAGCGCACAGGACGAATGCTGACAGTATACTAACTAAAGCCACGTCCACTATGATGACGTCAGGATCTACTGGCTCACACATTAGTGACGAAACTAACTGCGATTACGGAGTCCCACAAGGAAGCACTCTTGGACCAACACTTTTCCTGTTGTACGTTAACGATCTCTGCAACATAGAATTGGAAGGAGCTGATTTATTAATGTACGCAGATGATACTGTCCTGCTTTTTCATCATCAGACTTGGGATGGTGTGCAAACTCTTAGAGAAAGAGGACTGTGTGAGGTTTCGAAGGCTCTGGAAAATAGTTTGCTATCGTTAAACGTAGAAAAGACGAAATATCACAGAGGCTACTAATCCCTCTAGCACTTTTAAAGTCAAGATGCACACTTTCCCATGCAATACCATACCCTTACTTCCTGGCAGAAAGTGTGATTGTAAAGAGCTAGAAATGGTTAAACACGTGCGATATCTAGGAGTGACAATTGACGATAAACTAACTTGGAACCGTCATATTTCAAATGTCACGAGTAGAGTAAGAACACTCATTTATATTTTTAAAAACCTAAGAGAAATTGCAGATAGCGACCTTCTTCTATATGTGTACAAGGCTCTTTGCTAATCTGTCATAACATATTGCATTGCAGTGTGGGGAGGAGCAGCGAAATCTCATTTGATGGGACTGGAAAGGGCTCAAAGAGCCATTCTAAAAGTTCTATGTCTTCTCCCTTTTAAATATCCCTCACACGCATTGTATCAACACTGTAGGGTTTTAACTGTGAGACAGTTATACTATAAATCTATAGTTCTCAGGTATCATAGGGAAGTCGTACCGTCTTTGCCAACGTCTCAGCGAAGGAGAGAGACATGTCCCATAGTACGGACTCGTACGGAGTTTGCCAATCGCCAATATTACGCGATAACCTCTCGGGTGTATAATAAATTAGGTGATATTCAACAATTACGAAAATTTAATACCTATAAATTAAAGAAATATATAGAGGACTTTACGAATAAATTAAATTACAAAGATACAGAACACATGATGGAAAGTTTAAAGTGAAACGCGCACGCACACACACACACACACACACACACACACACACACACACACACACACACACACACACACACACACACACACACACACACACACACACACACGCACACACGCACACACGCACACACACATAACATAGGAGCACACACACACACACACACACACACACACACACACACACACACAACATAGGAGCACACACAACATAGGAGCTCACACACAATTATTGTACATTGTAAGTAATATAATATGTACAACATAGACAAGAGATATGAAGAGCATTGACTCCTGTAACACAGGCTTTCCTAGCACAGGAGTCAAAGATCACTGTTTGCACATTTCGTATTCTGTACCAAAAGTAATCATTTTGTAAAATTGTGATTTGTGTAACTTTTCTTTATGTGTGTGTCAATAAATTATTATTATTATTATTACTTAGAATCACAGTGCACAGTTGCTTATGCCGTCTTCTCTTTGTAGTTGCTTCATGGTTATAACAGTGTAATGAAGTGATGGAACTACATTGACAAATTGCATACAGCCTGGATGCATTTGCATGGATATTAAAATAAGGATAGGACTTTGTTTATTACTAATATAATTAATTACCTATAATCAGGGCTCGAACTAGCTATTTAGCCGCTCCGGGCAAAGATAATTTTAGCCGCCCTTTACATACACAAAACCATATAAGTCATGAGCTAGTTATGTTGGGGGATGTTAAGTTCACAAGTACCTACATAAAATACGTGATATTGTTGAGATTATACCTACATATAATATTCACGTCAGTCTATTGAGTCTTCTGAAGAAGTACTTATACGAAAGTTGATGAGTGTTTTTATGTTAGTAAGTATACAATGTATGTCTTTTATAGAATTTCACAGAAACTACTAAATGGATTGATATATCTTTTTATCGACATAGTTATGTACCTTTCAACTTTATCATCATCATTAACCTATGGCGACTGCTGCTTATGGGCCTCTTTTCCGTTGTGCTATTTATCCCTGTCTCGGGCTAATCTTGCCTATGTATGATGACCCTTTAACTA